ATTGGAGTACTTACAAAAGTGTTCCTCTGTCATGCTGTAGCGGACCAACTCGTGTCTCTGCTCCAGCTTATTGTTTGTTATCCGATCACTGCTCGTGTTTTAACGAAATGTGATTGAAGTTGAGCATTTGAAAGCACATTTGCATGTCTGGCTGTAGCTGAACGTGTAGAGATGCTCGCTGTTAGTTCTTAGCTCCCAGCATTTTCGGGTTCGAATGCGGTCAGAGGCAACATGTAATTTTTAATTTTTGTCTTGGTTTTTATTAATTTCGAAAAAGCATTTGAGAAGTGAAGAACAAAAGCGTGTACAAACGAAAAAATATAACAACAATGCCATTGTTCATATGTTGGAGTAGTTTTGTGCTACTCTGATGTAATGCAGGGATGGAGTATATGGTCCTGCCCTAGGACATCGCAATGTTAATTGGACCATATTTTTTTATATGAATTGTGGTTAATTTTGGAGTACTCCTTGGTCCTTAGGGAGTACTCTTTACACGCATGCATGGAGTAGTCGCGATTTTTGCAGGGTACTTTTCTCTCTCCCTATCATCAGTAAAATTGATATGCTGCTACGTTCGTCAACCTACGTTTACGCTACGTCGTTGACTAACTGCGCTTTTAGGCAAGTTAGCATTTTGACGAGGTTGCCCAAGAATGATAGAAAATAATATTGTGCCCTCAACGTTCCGCTATCTTTTTTGGTTTGAATTTGACAGCCAGCTTCTGCGATGTGAAAAGCTGCTAAGTCCCAATCTGAAAATTTTACAGGAGAAGAAAAAAACTTCTTATAGCCATTTTCTTCAAGTATTTCGCAAAACTCTGAATACAAAAGCAAAGGAAAACCCCATACGAATCAGAGGAATTCGATCTTTAATAAATGATTTTAGCCTTATCGAATTTTCGGACCTTCTTTTGGACTTTACAAATTTTCCTTTCATTGAATATAAACTATAACATATAAAACAAGGACCTTTATCCTTTTTAAATAATGCATTTTTAATTTCTCTAGCCTCCTGCAACAAAATATGCATTTTCATAAAAAGTGGATTTAGCCACTTTTCACTCTAGCTTAGACTTGTTTTAGCATCAATTAAAAAAAATTAACAAAACTAATATTTTGGGATATATAATGTGCTTTTATTTATTTATTTTTTTGCTTTGGATATCCTTGACCACCCGTCCACTCCCTCTAAAATGGAATGAATTTTTTTTTATTGAAAACAACAAAAATTTTACCTACTAAATCGGGGATTCTCTATCTTTTGGTGGTATTATCGACTTCCGGTTTCGGCCGGCAGTGGGTTTTTTCTCAGAAATGCCGTTTTCAATCCGTAAATGACCTTCGTACTTCAACTCGTGCTGGATTTCTAAAATGGACGAAAATTTTTTATTCAAATTGAATAATAACGAATTACCAAAACGAGGACGCTCTATCTTTTAATCATCTTACCGACTTCCGGTTTCGACTGGAAATAGGTTATACTGACCGGAAGTTCATTTTTCTAAATGGGATTACATATTTTTAACACTGATTCGGATTCTGCGCATAAAAATACATACCTTATGTCTGAAACTTTTTTTTCAGTTTGGACCGGAAGTGGGTTAAACAGACCGGAAGACCACTTTTTATGTATGTTTTTAATACAGAATCAGATTCTGTGGACAAAAACACGCAAATTTTTTTTTACCATTTTTGTCGGAAGCGTCTTTTTTCTCAGAAGCGCCGTCAGGTCTTTGAGCTATGTAATTCAGAGAGCGTTAAAAGGTGGTAGGGGATGCCAGACCTCTCTTTTTTATTGGGTGTTTTATATATGGGAACAGTCCAGTCCACAGTGGTATTGCAGACACCTGCGTTGCGAAAGGATTGTTTAGGAAAGGCCGCCTCGAAAAAAGCCAGTGTGGGAATAGCACTGCCTGCATGAGAACTACGCTTAAATAGATAGTGCGGTCTTACCACCTTTAGTCGGCATTTTTAATCAGCCCTGATTGGGACTATAGACTTATACATTATCCGAAACTTTGCTCTTGCCACACAGCGTATTTCGCTGCTTAAGACAACCACCCTAATTAGAATTACGCGGGTTAGACTAAACGTCAGCAGTGCGATTGTATTATTTTTACACTTATTAAAGGCATTCACTTAAACCGAAATAAATTAATGGGAAAATTTCGAAAGTTTTTTTACGCGCTGTAAAAATTTCTTTGAGTTTGTAAATTTTTCCAATTTAAATTAAAAATAACTGTATTGCTTTATTACTTAAAAGATTTGTAAATTTTTAGTATTTTAATCTAGTAGTCAAAATTCAAAAGGCGTAAATTATATTTCACAAAAAGTAATTTTGCTGCCTTTTCTCCCATGAGGCGATTTCTTGGAGGCTCGTATGTAAGGCCGGCTGCACTGAACAATTGCTCACATGGACAGGGCTGCCAACTAACCTTAACTATGAAGTGCCATATTAACGATGAAAAAGTGCCAAAATGTGACAAATAGAAAAATAAAGTGTCGAAAAAGGTGGCATTCTTTTTAATCATTCCCATTTAGCAATAAAATATGAACCACATTTTTAAAACAAAAGTGCAATGATAAAATAAGATAAACCAGTTGAATAGCCTTTATAAATTAGAAAATTAGAAAGGATTTCACAAAAATGCATTGAAATGTTTTTTTTTTACAAAAGTGCCATATTGGCACTTTGTGCCGAATTGAAAAATGAAGTGCCATTTGAAGTAAAATAAGGCCAAAAATGGCACAGTTTGAGCCAAGTTAGCAGCCCTGCACTTCTAACGCAGGCGGGTGGAGCGCTCAAATATTTGCGGGCCAGATTTGTCAATTTCTCGTATATTAGTTTAGTTTTCCACCAATCGAGAGGATTTTCAACGAGATGAGCTAGTTTTTCTTTAAAATAGTACTTCAATTGAGCTTTAATTTCACATATTTTAATTCTAGATCCGAGCCTTCGCTTTCGCTGGAGGAATCTAAAATTATTTCTAGGTTGCTTATAAGACTTTTAGCACTACTTGTTGAAGACCCATCAATGTTGCTTAATATATTGCTTAACCGTTTAGCGCCTGAAGCGACTCCCTTTCATGTGACTTCTTTAATCTGATGTTAGAGAAGATAATAATAGCTGCAGAACTGAACCGCTCAGGAACATTTTATGTACTACAAGAGCGTGCAATTGCTGGCTTATGCCGATGACATCGATATCATCGGTAACAAAAACCGCGAAGTCTGTTCTGCCTTTTCCAAGTTGGATAAGGAAGCAAAGCGAATGGGTCTGGTGGTAAACGAGGACAAGACGAAGTATCGCCTGTCATCAAACAAACAGTCAGCACATTCGCGCCTTGGCACCCACGTCACTGTTCACAGTTACAATTTCGAGAAAGTAGAGAATTTCGTTTACTTGGCAACCAGCACTAACACCGATAATAATGTCAGCATTGAAATCCAACGCAGAAACACTCTTGCCAACAAGTGCTACTTTGGACTGAGTAGGCAATTCAGGAGTAAAGTCCTCTATCTACTTACGAAAACCACGCTCTATAAGTCACTCATCATGCCCGTGCTGGTATATGGCGCAGAAGCATGGACAATGGCAACATCCGATGAGGCGGCTCTTGGAGTGTTCGAGTGAAAGATTTTGCGGAAGATTTACGGGCCTTTACGCGTTGACGACGGCGAGTACCGCGACGACATGGACATAATGCAGCGAATTAAAATACAGCGGCTCTGCTGTCTTGGCCATGTCGTTCGAATGGACACCGACGCTCCAGCTCTGAAAGTGTATTTAACTCGGAACCCGCTGATGGTAGCAGAGGAAGAGGGAGGCCCCCACTGCGATGAAAAGATCAGGTGGCGAAGGACTTGGCTTCACTTGGCGTTTCCAATTGGCGTCAGTTGGTACAGAAGCGAAACGACTGGCGTGCTTTGCTGAACTCGGCCAAAATCGTTTAGGCGGTTACAGCGCCAAATAAGAAGAAGATAATATGTAGAATTGTAAACTTATGGTGTTTCATTTCCTTCATCATCAAATCTTACCCAAGCTATGTCCTTCTCGACTTGGTCTTTCCGTCGCAGTGGAGACTTCCCTCTTTCTTTGCTACCACCAGCAGGTTACGAATTGAGTACTTTCAGAGCTGGAGCGTCGGTGTCTATTGGAAAGGTGTCCACTCAACGAAAACCTTTTTTAACCGACTTCAATAGAAAAGGAGGTTATCAATTCATCGGAATATTTTTTGGGTAATTTTTTTCTGGTTTAGTTCCAATCATTGCATCATGAAGAAATTAACTGTACTCCTAAACTTTTTTATAAGCATTGGAGTCGGTTGTATTCTTTTCTTAAAAATTAATTGTTTTAATAAAACAATTTTGCCAAATTTAAACTTTGAAATAACTGTAAACAAAACAAAGAGCGCTCGTACGGTAAAATATTTTAAAAACGTTATATGTATGTATAAAAATATAAAATTTTACGATACAAACATATGTAGATCAAATCGACTTATTGCATTAGTGTTGCGAATTCTTAAGTCTTTTTAGTGACCCTCGTAATTATAATAAAATATAAGAAAGTAGCTCCGTACTTCAAATGAAGTATGTATTATAATTCATTTCTAAATGATTTATGATGTTAATGTGCGACAGCACGACTAACGCCTATATGACTTCGATTAGCCTTTATGGTTATATGGCTAGTTTCAGTACGAGTACGTGTTCTTAACAGCAGCGCTTATCAATATCGGTGGCACGAGATAACTTCACGCAACAACTGCAAAGTACCTACATACATACATATGTACATATGTATGTACCCACCAGCCAATTTTCGTTGCCGGCAATAAGAAAACATGTCGCCCTCGGCAACAAATTTATTGCCGACAATATCGCCATCGTATCGATTTCTTATTGCCAGTCGCTCTAAAACGTCTGCAACTCGCCCGATCGCGTCGCTTTCTTATTATGTAGCTGAATGACTCGTTTTCTTATCACTTTATTATTGCTATAGGCAATATTTGGAACAATTTTATTCTATTTAATATTTATTTTATTTTTAATTAAAAAATTAAATAGAATTTAAAAACAAAATTAATTGTTTTCCCCGCTACATATGGCGCTTCCTATTTTATTTTTCCAATCCAATCTTTCTTTCCATATACATATTAGATGTTTTTGGAGAATACTGTTGATGCGAATTGATTGATGCGTATGAATTGAGACTGCTCACCAACGCGATCCGAGTTGAACGGTGTAGTTAACCACCAGTCGTCCAATGGCCTTAAACGTGGCCATCATGTCACCACGTCTGTTCTTCAAGCTCTGCAAGCAGGCAACTTAATATATTTGTTCCTACCTCAGAGCTTCTTGCTGATTTTTAAGGGTGGGCCGAGAACGAGTGCTGGTTGTCCAAATTTACACTCGGCATTCGTGGGTGATTTACGATTGGAATTTTCCCACCATCGACGTGTCCAGCCCCAACCTAACTTCTTTCGTCCTGGTGGTCAATAAGACAGCCGTGGACTTAGCGGCGAAGATTTGTGGGTTTCGCAGAATGAAGGACTTACGCAACTCACTGAGGGAGTTGCGTAAAGAAGATGATTAAGACTCTTTGAGAGGAGATGCAAGGCTTCGGAGAGGTAGATGCTGAACAGGTTAGGTGATAGCTTCCTCAAGTAGGTTCATTACACAACCTCTGGACCCGTCAGCCTACCGACAGGCCCTGAGCGGCATTCACAGGGAATCAGTCTCGATTTATGTAGACTCCCGCCCTGTGAATGCCGTTCTGGGCACACAACCACCGGACGTGAACGGGACAGAACTTTGTCTGCCTCGGGAGACCCGCACCACAATAGCCCAACTTCGCTCTGGCTATTGCAGTAGGCTTAACTCATACCTGAGCAGGATTACTGAGGATGTGCCCAACCAATGCCCGGAGTGTGGAGAGTCGCCACATGACTCTCGGCACCTCTTCACATTCCCTGAGAACCCCACCCAGCTGACGCTCCTATCCTTATGGACAGACCCTGTGGAAGTCGCACACTTCCTGGGCCTCCCCTTAGCTGAAACAGACAACAACGTTGACGGATGAACCGACCCGAGCGGGGCGTAATAACCGCTACAACAACAACAACCTCTCCCTCATTTCCCTAGAGCTTGGAGCGTCGGTGTCCATTCGAACGACATATAGCCACCCGCTTCGATATTATTCCTTTGAACAGTCTTTGGATCCGACGGAAAAATCACAATGAATTTCTTAGAGAATTGAATCCCAGGAAACGTGATATATCTACGCAACAGGAATGACACAGATCACTCCAGCTGATTTCCTAAAAACCCTTTGGGGAAAATTGTATGCTGTTGAAAGAACAACCACAACGACAGTCAGTTGAGTCAGTTAATGAGCGCGAAGTTGGAAACGTCGGTACTATACCTAATATCTAGCTAAAAGAACATCTCGAAGATGTCGGGCCCTAGCCGCCAAAAAGATGTAAGCGACATTTTATTCACTGCTTACCACTACACCACAGCGGCTGCCTCATAAATCGTTCAAATTATACAAATATACATATGTATACATATGTATGTATAAATTTTTTTTGCACATGCATGTGCCGCAATTATTTTCCAGGCAAAATAGTTCTTCACGTTTCACCAATTTTTTAATTATTTGTATTTAATTTTCACATTTTATTTTTTATTTGGAAAAATCACCCACCTTCAAACTTCAAAGGAACCCAAGAAACAGGAAGTCACGCGCATGAAAAGCGTGGCACATAAACTAAACCGCTGAGCAGCTATTGGCTGACTTTTATAGCGCGCAAGCTTAAGCACTGCGTCGATCGATTGTGAACTATTTGGTCACATTACTACTGGAATCATTGTCGTCAAAATGTATCAGGGCCAATGTGGTTAGAAAAATGAGTGTGAAAATTAACAAATTGAGATATTGAGCATGTCGACGCCAGCGTGAGTTCTCCTCATCTTCATCATCGTTATTATTATTGCCAGCAAACAATTGTGAGATATCGAAGAAGATAGAGAAGCCGATTGAGATAGGCATAATGTTGGCTGAACAAACTTGTATTGATCAATCCCGCGGCTTACGTACTTGGCATATATACAATACATACGTGTACATATCTTATCTGTGATAAAAAAAAAATCTTAGGGAAGCAAACTCGTATAATAATATAAACAGAGCAATGACCGTATACCTGTGCTCCGTTTGTAATATTTTACTGGCGAAGAGAAACTCTGATACGCGTCCGCGTTGCCGGCAAACTCAGAAGTCCACTACTCTCCGCTTTTATAAGCATACAAAGAAACCTCTACCCTTTTGTTTATTTAACACTACAAATAAAATTTTGTTATGATCGTCAGCTCCCCAGATGTTGCCAAGTAATTATTTGCTCACTGAGTGTTGGCTTTCTAGGTAAAAGTTGATGCTTTGGAAATGTTGTATGCACTTAAATTAGTAACAAGGTTTATAAAATGTTTATGTATATTAACCTTGCACTTATGCAATGTGTGTGTTTTTTAAACGTTAAATGTGTCAAGTAATAAGTCAGATCTAATAGACATAGAAAGAATGTCGCTTTGTGTATCAGCAGTAAACTCCCTTCAGCTTCAGTGGTTCTTTCAGTAGCATCATAAAGCGTTGCTTATACATCTTTAGAAAGTTCCATTGGCGCACAGTGATTTCCGAATATAAATCTAGGTGAACATATTTTATTTATATATGCACAGCGACCGGGAATATAAAAAATAGCTAATTTAGAATTTACAAATTTGGATCGTATAAAATCTCTTTAATCTCAAAGTTAAACGTTAAAAAACCAAAATCCGTTATTTAAAAAGCCAGCGACAGCTACGGGACGACTTGCGTTCATTTGAGTTTTTTTTTTAAATTCTTGTACAAGTTTCAGCATTTTCACAAAATTCGTTGTCCCTTAGCTTGGCTAATTGTCAAGTACTGAATGCTGGACAGCAGTCACCGGCAACTTCTGCAAAGAAACGATGATACAAAATTCAAATATCTCACAAACTTAAACTTAACATAAGGGAATTTTTAATGACCATAACTATTAAATGTATATCTACTAAAAAAAATTGCAAAGGCAACACTCACTATCGGTATCGCCCCAGCCGAGTGGCACTTTCAAGCGTTGATTTTCTGCATGCAACCACTTGCTAAGTGGTTCAAAATATTCCATAAGCGCAGCTGGATCCATTTCAGTTTCGCCGGTAAACTCCTTTAGTGCTTTCTTCCAATGTATCGAGCCGCCAATTGAAAGGAATTTGCTAAGAAGCACAAAATTTCAATTAATTCTGTAATAAATGTTACTAACAAATAATAATTTGCCAACCCGAACGCTTCCCCAGCTTCTTTGCTGTTATATATGTCGCAGTTATCCAGTGTTTTCTCCGGGTCCCCCTTTACGTACTGGCCAGCTTTAATGCACATCGCCTTGTGGAATTGAAATTGGAAAATGTGTGCAGCAAAGTAACGCAAGTACTCGACATCAGCATCAATGTGATACTTTGCTGGCGGATCAAAATCGGCGTCGGTGCGTCGCACGGGCGGTTCCAAGCCCGAAAACTCAGAACGCATTTGCCAGAAAGCACAATTCCATTTAGACTCATCCACGTCACCGCGGAACACAACATAGCGGTATTTGTCCATTGTGTAAGCGAAGGGCAAGAACACAATTTTTTTAAGCGCCTGAAAGTGAGAATTTAAAATTTATTCGACAGAACTTAAAAAATCGCGAGCATAAGTACTCACAGTCTTGAACAACTCATTGATACGACTCTCTTCGTCCAACTTGTCCACATTCGAGAGTCCAATCGATTTGAGATGCTTCGGCGTGGCAACTGAAAGTGCTATAACATCACCTACAGCCTCATGGAAGCCAGGATTTGGCGCCGCACGAAAAACAGTCGGTTGATTTTCATATTGTAAATAGTATTGTATATGCCCAAGTTCATGATGCACCACATACAGATAGTGTGTATCAATTTCGGTGCACATTTTAATGCGCACATCGCTATCCTGATACAAATCCCAAGCCGAGGCGTGGCAAACAATTTCACGATCTGCCGGTCGTGTCAGCACACTTAAATCCCAAAAGCTGTTGGGCAACGCGCGCATGCCTAGCGATTGGAAAAATTGATCACCCAATTCGAAGAGTTTGCGTACAGTGTAGTTTTGGCGCTGCAACTCGCTGGTCACATCTACAAATGGCTTTTCGGGGTAGGGTGTAAACAGCGGCAATGCATTATCCCATTGTTGTCCCCACATATTACCCAGCAAATGCATGGGGATGTTGCCATTCTCCGGCACGATTGCATCACCATAATAGGCGCGTAGGCGATAACGTACGTAACCGTGTATTTCGCGATAGAGCGGTATAATAGCTTTATATACCTTATCTAGATTTGCCTCGAAATCGGGATCTTCATAAAAGTGAATCCAATAATCGGCGTAGGAGGAATAGGCTATTAAAATGAATAAAAAGATGCAGTGATAGTAAAGAGATAAGACTTGAGTAAGTGTATGTAATACAATAATAAATGAATCCGAGGGCTTATATTCAATCCCCCTATCTGCAATTTTCACAAAAACTACTTTGCGATGTTAGAACCTATGTGGGACTAACCTGTCATCACTGATGTTAATTCTGAGTTAGCAATTTAATAGTAAATTCTTCTGTCAAGCGTTAATATCACCGATGGCAGTCAAGTCTTAGGTGGATTTCTATATCAGAATCTCATTTTTGTGAAAAGTGCAGACAGATGGGTATTGAATATAAGCCATCGGTATGTATTACATAATATTTAAATGTTTTCCAGACTAGAAATGATTTTTCTCCCTTCAATTTACTTAAGTACCAGAAGTTTCATTTTAACTCTTCTTATCAACTTACGCGACTTCTGTGCCGCACATGGCTCATACAAATGTATGTACATATCGCACACTTCGATCTAAAGTGCGGCCAACTCCAAAAAAAAATTGGGCGCTTTTTGCATAAATCAATTCATAGGACTAACAACCAATTAATGGACATATTTTTTTTATGATTATATACAGTATAAATTAACTAAAAATCTACTATTTTTGTATTAATTGCGTTGAATCTATACGATCCACAGCAATTAAATTTCCCACTCTGAATATTGAGTTAGCTCACTTTAGATTTAGGTGTGCGATATGTACGTATGTATACGAAGCACTCGCCTTAGTAGGTACATACACATAAAAAAAAACGGCTCTTATCAGTACTAAAATGCCGGCATCTTACCATTCAGACGCGCTGACTTCCGACTCAATTCAATATATTTTTTGAAATTCTCGCGCATTGGTGTACCCGTCTTGTCGTACCACTGACGCCAGTAGTACTTCAGTTCTTTGGGGTCGCGACTATTCGAAAGTCGCTCCTGTATATGTGGCTCTAGCTGCAGCGTACAATTCCCCTCTTTATTGTATGGGCAAACCGTGGCTGTGGCATAATTTGACTGCATCGAACTGACGGCATTTAACAATTCCTTATAGTCATCTTCAGGTAATACATCTATACCCAAATCACCAAGTATAGTGGCTTGTCGTTTGATGTCTTCATCAGTTGAGTCAATGTATCCCGATGCGATTACTTTGCGTGTCATCTCCTTATTTGCGGCTGCATTTTTGGTAGCCACAGCAATCATTGCTTTCCGATTTTCCTCTGTAACATTGGTATTGTACTCATAGGAGGTAACGAACTCATTGCGACGCCGCTGACGTAGAAATTCGTTTTCACGCTCGAAGAATGTTCGCGCTTCTGATTTCAGTGCGTTACTGCTTGAGGATCGAGCAGAAACAGCTGCATATGCACGCACGGTCTATGGGTGGGGAAAATGAGAAAATACGAGTTAATGAAATGGGAAAACCTGCCAAGCCGGATCAGCAACTTACGACTGCCAAGAGCATTGCCTGCAGAAACAATACATTCTGCAGTAGTATAAAACTGTTTTTCATATTCAGTCACGGTAACCAATTCCTGCAGTCACGCGTTAAACTTGCTAACTACACGACGAACCAAATGCGACTGAACTGAGTTTTGTAAATTTTAATTCAATAAGAAATACTATGCGCCGGCTGCTATTAGCGGCGGGGTCAAGACGTGCTTTGCAAACAATTACTCGCAATCTCTTCCAACGAAATCTATGGAATATAAGAGTAATTAATAGATGCGGTTGACAAGACGCGCTCCTAGAAATTTGCTACTCTATTACTAACAAATATAATTAATTTATTATATATATTTTAATAACACCACTTAAATGTGCAATGTTTGTTTTTTTGTTTATATATGCGGCTTTCCCACTTTCCTAGGAATGTAGCAAAAACATCGATGCATCGAAAATATCAATCTTTTGCTTAGATACATCGAAAATTTTCCACTCGATATATACGGGCATTGGCTGCAGATCGTACGATTACCCCACGTCTACACCTTTTACAGATCCTAATGAAAAAGCTGTTTTAAGGCCAGTATGCAGGTCTCATTAAAACGGTCTAGAAAAAATTGCCATTATTTCGCGTGAGTCCAAGGGATATTAACATCTGATACTTCACAACCTGTTGCCTCACTCTTTCCACAAGAAATAATGAGGCAAGAAAATTTCTTAAAGCTCAAACAGTCAACGACGTAACGTACACGTAGGTTGACGCAGACACGATCTACCTTATGGGATTCGCGTGTTAACGAAAACTCACCACCGCATGGCGGTGACGTTGCCATTGCTTTTCTCTTTCTCTATCAAGAGTAAATTTTATATGCTGCTAGGTACCTCAACCTACGTTTACGCTACGTCGTTGACTAACTGCGCTTTTAGCCATTTCAAAGAAGGTAAATCCAAAGAACGTAAATCTATTTACATTCTTCGGTGTGGTTAAGCCGTTTACACCCTGTCGCGGATATACTCGTCATTGGTGTCACCCTGTAAAACTTTGCTGCTACTCGCCGCTAACGGAAATTTAGGCGCTTTCTGACATTTCATTTTGCGTTGTTATTTCTTGTTTTTTTTTCTGCTCCACTCATTCGCTGCATTTTATCACACACATTTAAAACCAACCACCATTGCTTTGTATCCAAAGCCCCCAACTCCAATTGCACAACCCAACAACCAACAAACACATGCAAGTAATTCAATATAAACAGGCGGCGACAGCGCAAGCAAATTTTCTACCGATTTGCTCTTGTCAGTGTGTTCTTCGACGTGTTTGAGTTCGTTTCGCTAATATTTGGTGTCTCGGTGCGTTTTAAACGTTTGCCGTGTCTCAGTGTTTTGTTTAGTGTTAATTTGTCGGTGGTGCCAAAAATTAAATAGAGAATTTAATAAGCGGTGGAAATCTACACATTGTGCTGCAAAATATTTGTGTAATAATTTTATTTAAATTTTTATTTCACTAGCTTAGTTTATTGCCTGCTCAATTTTATGTTCGCAGTGTCTTTTTGGGGCAAAGTGTATGTTTGTATGTACATATGTGGGGGTCTGCGTATGTTGAGGAAGCAAGTGGAATTGCATCGCTCCAAATATTTGCGTGCGTTGCGCCATAGTGTTGCTTCACAAAATCAACACGCACGAGACGTGTATGCTGTTAAACTTGCGTATATTTAGATGTTGTTTATTTAATTGGTAGGCCAATAGCCGATAAAATACATATTAATTAGTAGAAGAAATGCTATGAAATATGTAATATCGCAAAGCAGTGATCACACAAGTTGAGGTGATTTTTTAGAAAGTTTCTACTTATCGAGCTCCTCAGGAACCCAACCGTATAAATGGAAAATGTGGAGATAAGGCATTACATACTATAAAATGGTATCTGATTTATTGTTTGTTACTTTTGCAAATTATCTTTACATTTTTTTAAGTTAAACGTGATTAAAAATATGTATAATCAAACGCACGTTTAGTTTTCCTGAAATATACAGTTGCGATCAAAATATTAGCACCACAATTCAGAATGGTTTTGCTTGCAACTTATGTTTATTTATTTATTTTTAATAATTTTGACCGCAGCTAAATGTATGCAGCTTTAAATTGTGTAAACAAAATTCTACCTCTTAAGGTAATTATTTCTGTAAATTGATTGGTTATTTTCGCAGAAAAGCGTAGATGCAAAATTCATAGAAACATTAAAAATTAAAACCTTAGACAATTCCGATGGCTGGCAAATCCTAACAACAACATCCAACAATCAATCCTCCATTCGCGCTGCCTCCATTTCCAATTTCCACTTCATACAATAAGCATTCAAAGAAAAAAACCCAAACAAATAAACAAAGTACACTAAAAATAAAGAAATAAACACGTATTCACGATTTCTTCTATGCATACTAACGAACATACATAATGCATATTTATTTACATATATGTATGTATGTACATAAATTTCAATACTTGAAAAGTACAGACGTAGGTACTTTTATACTAGAACAACAATAAGAAAGCAGCAGCACAGCAAAAATGAATGCGGTGCTCCAGCATCCAAAAAGCAAGATGAAGTGCTGTTGAAGACCTAAAAAACGGCCATTAGACTAGCAGCAAAAACGAGATAAACAAAAAAAAAACAAACAACTTAAAAAAAAACGAACGCACAAATGCACACGCATACAATTCCAAATTGGAATTTCCAACACATAGTAGAATAGCGAATGAATAGCCCCAAATCGTCAGAAAGTGACGCCAGTTTGAGCGCGGTTATTAAAATAGATTATTTGCGTAGTTTGCGTTCCTGTGCGGTTTTTGCTTTTATATAGTGATTTTATAGTAGTTTTTTTTTAGTCTGTTTTGTGAATTTTAATAATTTTAATTGATATATTCGTTATACAAGTGTTTTTGTGCGTTTGAAGAATGTGTTTGTGTTCAGTTTTGGATGCCTGAAGGTCACGGGTGGAAATTTGTTTGCGCACTACTGGGCCGGCCAACATTTGTGTAATTTTGCGTTTATAATATCTTTTATTATTGAAATATCAATTATATTCTTGTAAGTTTTATAGACTTTCTGCACTTAAAAGAATAAAAATGCATAAAAGTTGTACATCAAAAAGAAACGTTTGGTAAAAATGCCGCTTACGGTATTTTGGCGGCTTGGGCTCGATACTTGTACATATTTACATAGAAAGGTACATGCTGATAACTAATTATCAATGAATATGCACCAGCGAATTATGTACATACCTACCTATGCACATACATATGTACATATGTAAATACATACATACAGTGGTCCAAAAAATAATAGGAGTGCGATATTTTGATTGACACACGCAAATGTTAACATAGACAGTAGAAAAAATTAACGAAAGGGCGGACCATGCTCACATTTCGTTTTTTTTTCTAGCTTTAGGGGCCGTATTCCCGCATTCTGCACTTACATAGCGTCGTTTGAAGTACAAAACCGCGTATCAACTAGATGCAAAACCTCATATCAAAATAATGCAAAACCGCTTATGTGAGGTAGCAAAATTTATTTTCTTGAAAGTAAAAACACTAATATTTCAAAATGGCTCTCTTTTTTTATTAAGCAATCGCCTTTCTGGCTATTATATTTCAGGACGAATGGATAAGGATTGAGCCAAGAGCTTGTGTAAGCAAATCAAATTTTTGGCAAAAAATGTCAGTTACGCGGTTTTGCAGAACGACGATACGCGATTTGGACTTTAAACGACGATATGTCTAATTTGTGTAATTTTGGACTTACATACATATGTATATCGCACACCGTCTTCAAAAGTGTCACAACTCAAAATAATAACTTTTTCAGAAAATGCGAAAAAATATTTCTTAGCACATGATAATCATATGAGCAAAGGCGACTTTACCTTAAGTTTTTTTTTTAAACAAATTATAACAAAAATTTGCTCCAGCTTTTACTGAAAGGTGAATAAAAGCTCAGTGTACACTTTTAGCGAATAATTTTTAAAATGTTAAATTTTGAATTGTGACTTCTGAAGACGGTGTGCGATATTTCCTTTTAATGTTAAAATATTACAAACTTAACTTGCGTAAGTTTTATAGATTTACTGCTATGTACTTATAAATATTTGTGCACGAGAATTGTTAATAAGTCTTAACTTTTGAAAGGCCGCAAAAATTTAATATTTTAACTACAGGTAGCGAATTAGATATAGTCAACCCTGTTTAACTACTATCTCTCCTATAGCACTCTCAGGGAACCACAATAAACTGATATTCCAATGACACTCCACTATGGCATCGGACAGTTGGTAACATTTTGCAAATCAATTAAAAGTTACTTCAGTGGTCACCACTTATTCTTTGGAGTAGACTCCGCGACCACATTATTCGGACATAGCCCAAGACTTAGAGGGTCGACGGACCAAAATACCTACTATAAGACCCTCCAAAATCCTTGGAAAGAATAGGGAAGGTATAAGAAGCCCTTGCTAGCCAAAGGATAAATTTTCATTGAAGCCGGATAGATTCGAAGATAGGAGATATGTATGTACATACATAGATAATGCATTTTGGGTATAGGAGATATACATACAGTGACGAGCAAAACTGTAACATGGAGTAACACTTTTTATTTCAGCCACCGCTATCTTTCCAACTTCTAAAGACTTTCATACTTTTGTTGTATATTCTTATTGGTACACCCCTACTCCCTCTCTCATAAAGATTTGAAGTCAATCCAACAACAATAATAAAACCAGCAGGCAAAAATGTAAATTAAGGCCATTGTTACAGTTTTGCACTCACTCTCAGTTTTGTATTTTAAAGTTATCTTTTACTTAGTTGGAAGTCAGATGACTTTTTTCTGTATTGTAATTTATTCAAGAAGAGATTACCAGTAAATAATATGGCTAATCAGGAAACATAAATGTAAATAATATATCTACTGCGGAAACGCGGGAACGTAGGAAAAGTGGCAAAAAATTATGGAGCTCGCCACGTGAAAATATTAAGATTGAGAAAAAATATAGCCTAAAAGGTTATTAAAGACAAAGGAAGTCTGCCAAAAAATATTACGGTCCGATAGCTTGTGAACTTAGTAGCAAGTAGCGCTGCAGCCACTATTACAGAAGCGTTTAAGGTATTAAAATCGCATGCAAATCATTAGACAGCGAGGCGAAAAATTGCCAAATTGAACGCAAAGTCATAATAAAAGAAGAAAAAGCCATTTTGATCAAAATACATGTGCGAGAGTGGTAGCATTTTGCCGGATCGCACGGCAACCGGACCGTTGCCTTTTGGGATATGTTAGCC